GGACAGTTGGTGTTTTGTTTCGTCCCCACAGTAATCCTGCTCCCTCTTCCAGTGGTTTCGTCACAGTGCCGTCTTCGTCTGCGAGGCTAACACGCACAGCTGCAACTTTAAACTTGCTGATCGATAAAATCAGTATTCGACTCGACAAAGGACAGCCACCCCAGCTGTCCGAAATGTCAGCAAATCTACAAATTTATCCCGGTGTGCAAAAGATGAACTCTTATTCCTATCCTGGAATTCTAAATTTTTCAAATTTGACCATTTTTATCAGGAAAGATGAGTGTGACAGTTTGAACGTCGATTCCCACGCAGGCCAACGTGTACCTCATAACACTGTTGGCACAGGGGAGGTGAATTGCGCGTGGATTACTTGATGGGGGACAGTAGACTTGCGTAGCATCTAACACGTTCCTCTTCTCTTATATGGAGCTGATATCAAGAGGACGCAGGCAGTTAGCGTGGCGGGGATTCAAACCCATTACATGGAATCGGATCCCACTGAGTGAGAGTGCCACATTATGAAGGAGTCATTGCGGCCTGACTCTTAGTCCACCAGCCAGCCACTCTACAAAAGTACACACCGAGTTAACTACGGATTCCGTGCTATCGTTTCAGTTAGCAGCCCTGTAAACCACAGTTTTTAGTGCATTGGGATAGGATTGAGTGCGCCAGATTTCAGAACAGCATTTGGCGCGTATACACTTTCGGTAAATTCTCCTCAGGCCATACATTTACATGGGATGGTTAAATTTAAACAATCGATCGATCGTCTTTCCTTACAAGCGGGAGCCAATCAGAGCGCGGATTAGTGCATGTCGCTAAGGGACTGCAGGCCACGCCAGATGTGGAGTTTGCAAAAAATTCTTTGGCGCGCACAAAACCGGCTTCCTCAACCGGATTGCGGTTGCTTCTGCTGTTGCTAGCAAACGTTGATCCGGGGACTTGGGGTAGTTTGGTGGGACCTTGTAAATTATCTTAAAGGTTTCACTGGGGTCCACACGATGTCTGGAGTCAACCATGTGGGCAAGGATAGAGCTGTTGATGTTTTTCATTCAACCTTTGGCTAGCCATGCCGGGAGGTATTCCCGTATTCTTTTGGATAAGCGCCGACTCGTGCGACCGATATGACCTGCTCCACAGGAGCAAGTAAATGGGTAGATACACATAGAAGTGGTCTGAGCTGGCAGCCTATCCTTACCTTCGCCGTGCAGGACCGGGTTGGTTGAAAATAACACCCGAACTTTCACTGCCGGGAAGGTTTGTACTACGGCTTGGTTGAGGTTTCTGCTTCGGAGTTCGCTTGCTGTGTCTCCTTGAAAGAGGACTTTGAGGAACAAGGTCTTCTTTTCCACAGTGAGTGTGGTGGGCTTTGTTCCCTTCTCCATCATATTCTCTATGATGAATCTGTCCGGATATCCGTTCTCTCGAAGCAGGTCCTGAGGTTTCTGGAGCTCCATTTCAATAGTGTCTGCCGAGCAGATTTTTCGGGCTCTTTGCGTTAAGCAGCAAACCAAGTTACGCTTCTGTTGGATAGGTACAGAACTGTTAAAGTTTGTATATTGACCGGACCTGGTTTTCTTTCGACAAACGCTCCTTCGTATGCTACCATCAGGTCTTCGACTTAAGAGGACATCCAAGAATGGCAGCGAACTTGCTGTTTCCACCTCCAAGGTGAACTTAATGGAGGGGTGTACTTGGTTAACAGTATGTAGAAGTGCATTTACATCAGTTTCTGCTGGGGCGTCAGATTTTTTATATTGAGAATTATGGGCTGAGGCTATGGACCTCACTCTATTTCCACTCTCAGATGCCCGTTCAGTATCCGAGTCGGTCAACCGACTGATGACGAGATTGGAATAGGTTGTTGGCAGAACTGAAAACAACTCACCTGCACTTGTTACACACACGAAGTGGTCTTTCATACAACTCACCAGGGGTTCAAACAAAAGAAGTAGACTACTCTGGTCTGATTTAACGTGTAGCAGAGAGGTCACTTGCAGAGGGAGCCAAAAAACTTACTTTTCACTTACATGAAAGAAACCTATCCATGCCTGCGGTGTGATGCTAGGCATGTTCGCGTGTGGTGCGTGGAGAAGTGTGCGATGTTGTTTAGTCTGCAATGGCTTACCTCAAGTTTCCATGGAGACGCTTGTGACTGTGTAGGTCCATGTAGGGCTCAAATGTGCAAAGGCAATGCGAGCAGTGGAAGCAGTAGTGGTGGGTGTATGTTGGGACTCCGGTCACTGCTCTACCCGTCACAGTGCGGTGGATTCGCAAGTGAATGACAAGTCCGTAAACGTCGTTTCGTCCTTGTCATTGCCGACGGATTTGATGAAACCAATAGTTTTTACTGAAGTCTGTTTAAGTAGACAATTTAAAGTGGATTATCGTATGACTGTTGATGGTCGTTTAATAGTCGTTATCCGCTTAC